TATTGCATGCAGATTAACTAAAGGCATAAAAGCCTTAACCTCAATATAAGAGCAACATAATTCAATCACTTTTAAAGGGGGAAAAATGCACCGTTTGCCAAGAATTTGAATAAAAAAAACTTAGCTTACTGAACGGGACACCAGAGGGGATATATATATATATATTTGGTGCTGCCGATTGCAACCAAAAAGCGAGTTGCACAACTACACGTTATGGCAGTCCCATGTATAAAATTTCAACTCTCTTGAGGCCATTCGTTCTTGAGTTATGTGAGATATATACGTGCGTATTGAACTGATGGAAAAAGAACTCTTCTGAATCCATTGTAATTCCATTTTGGGAAAAAGAGTCCTTTATTATGCCCGTACGTACAGGTGTCACGCAAAAACATTGTTCAAATGGATTCGAGAGGGGTCAAAATGGATATTTCCGTTTAAATCTGAAACCTCAAATTTTTCGCGATTACAGCACTTTCTTTTCTTCGTTCAAGGATGTAAAAAATTTTCGTTTTTGTTTTTGCTATTATTTAACTTTGTAACTTAATTTTCTTTTATTTAATTTTGTTCCCTGTTTTCCCTAAATAATTACGCCATTTTGCTACTTTTGTTACTGATATGTGTCGAAATTCAGTTTCAGAATCTAAAATTTACCAAAATGAAAACTCATCTCATAGAATGTATACAAAAATTTATACCAATTTATTGCAAGTGTAGAAATTAAGCTAGTTAAATTATATAGAAAATAAAAATATTTAAATTAGTGATATAACAGTGCTACATACAAATAAAACAGAAATATTTGCCGCTGCGGAAAAAAACTTGTGAATGCTGTTTTTTTTTTTTTTTTTTTTTTTTTTTTTTTTTTTTTTTTTTAATCTCAAAATCTCTCAGTTACTTATTAACCCAAAAGATCTTTTAGTCTCACTTCAAAGTATTGTAAATGCGTTCATTCGGCAAAATGTAAAATATTTATCTTTCAAATTTAATCGGTCTGTTAATGATTAAAAATTTTGAACATGGAAACCTTAAAAAATGGGATCAGAAGTTGCACTTCCATCTTTTGTCAACCTACGGTCGAGAAGGAATATTCCCTCATTTACAGTGCCTATGGAGAACTGCTTCTTTTAACCTTAAGTATATGGAAATTTTGTTCCTTTCAGCTCTAAACCGGAGAAAAAGCTTTGCAAATAGTGTCTGACATGTAACTGGGGAGTCAGACACATGCCAGACACTGCTTGCAAAGCAGAAGGAGGAGAACTACATTGGCCAAAATGTCGGTTAAATCTTTTTTTAAAAGGAAAATATGGCTATTATGTTTATTAAAACACTACATACCTGATCAACAAATAAGCCTTTGTCCACTATAAGTTAAATGGATGAACAGCTCTGATTCAAACAGTTGGACTTTTTTTATTTATTATTACAGGTAGCCCTCCTACAACACGGCATCATATAGCACGGTTTCGGTATAACACGATTCATAAACTGCGACAACCCTCCTACAACACGGTTTCTCTCTAACACCATAAAACAATTGCCCAAGCAATCTGGAGAAATTTAATCAACTCCGCAGGAAAATTTTCTATATTGAGCAAAGCACCCATATAGTCATTTAACACATAAGAATCCTGGTTTTCTAATATCTGCCAGTTGTTTTCCAAGATTTCGGTACCCGTAGGAACAGATGTTCTCAGGGAGACGAGTCATATGGTGGAGGGCGACCGTTAATTCTTAACCGGTAACGGAAGAAAATCGTTTCCTTCCATGACATTCAAAGCACATTTGCACAACAGAAACAGTACCCAGGTCTCGAGAGCACAATCACTAGATAACAAGGAAGAAACTTTATTATTGCAGAAGGTGAACAACTTGAGGTCACAATAAGTGCTCTAAAACGCACAACCTGCACTTTCAGCTCCAGAAATTCGAATCTTCATCTCCGTGGCTTGAAAGCAAAAGTGTCTCACGTTGTTGGTCGGCAGTCTGTATTTAGCCAGGGTGTGTTAAAGAATAACTTTTTCATCTTTAAGACATTACGTTTCAGTCCCCAAACATCTCTAATAAAGATAAAAAACAACGTTTAAGAGGCAATTCCTTTCTTTAGAAGTAAAGGTACGAATTTTGGACCAACGTTTAAAAGGAGAAAAGGCATATCACATTGGAAAAAGTTTCAATTTGAATGAAGCAATAGTCCGGATTATTACGAAAAAGTAATAAGAAATGCAGTTGCTGCAGGATCTTCGACATTTGCAAAACGTGCAGTTCGCCCCTCCCGGACGCCAATAATTGAGAAGATGGAAAAGGCAGTCAGGATTTGGATTGATGATAGCTGTCAAAAATGAATTCCGTTGGATATTGATATCATTAAACAAAAAACACTCAATTTTCAAGCACCTTAAAGTCTTGCAGCTCATGAAAAGCGTCTTGCAACTCATAGCATAAGAATTCAAGAAGAGTCTGCATCGGCTGATTATGAAGGTGCTAGGACGTTGATTATGAAGCTAAAGTTTGGCTTTTAAATTGTTGGCTGTAGTGTAGAATTGGGTGCCTCCTTCGATTAGCGACAATTTTTTGTAAAATTTTGGCGATGAAATCTCATTTCTGGTTACCATGATAGTTTAACTTTGCTTTAGCCTCCTGATTTTTTTAAAAATAAAAATAGATTGATGTCTACATGGTCACATTTAAAGCAGTGCGCAATGCTCAGTTTATGCAATTCTGGGATGTTTTTTAAGTGAAAACAGATCGATGTGTACATGGACACAGAGTTTATGCAATTCTTTGACTTCTTATTTTGGTTTGTGTATCGGCCATCTTGAAATTGTGTCTTACTGGCGCAGATCTTGGCGTCAAAAAAGAAAACAAGGGGCACCCAATTGTAAACTTTTACCAAATTGTTTTGTGTCAAACGCTGTACGTTTAAGGCAGAAAAGTTTGAGCTTCAAGAGCGTATTACTATTAGATAATGCTCCATGTCACCCAAAATATTGAATCATCACAGCGCCAAAATACTGCTCCTACTACCTAACACTACTTCGTTACTCCAACCATTGAATCAAGATATTATTTATACCTTTAAAACATATTACATCATAAGAGCGTCACACCGCATTTTAGACGTAACCGATTCAAAATCAATTAAGGTAGTGGAAGCTTGGAAGAGATTTTCAATCAAGTACTGTATCGACATAGTATCTTTGTGTCTGAAAGAACTGAAAACATCAACGTTAAATGCATACTAGAAGAAGATATGTCCCTCTTTTCAGATGAAATAGAAAACATGCGTGAATTCTCAGAAAATGAAATTTTTGGCTTATTAAAACTTGCTAAATCAATCGGAGGCGAAGTTTTTGTCGACATGGCTATTGAGGACGTTCGAGATTTATTAGCGGAAGAAGAAATTGACGAAGCAGATTTGACGGAAATAGCCTCCGAAGCCATAAATCAAATCGATTCTGAGGACACTAGCATTGATGAAGATAGTGCAGTTAATAATTTAACATTAAAAAAAATTAAAAGAAGGTTTAAGCTTAGCTGTAAAATCTCGAATCATTTTTCTTCAGTACAGACCATTCCGCTGAAATAAGCCGAAAATTCAAAAGGGAGCTGCAAAACTGTCTAGCTCCATATCGAGAAATTTACATTGACACATTAAGAACTAGTCAGCAAATACAATTACAGATTTTTTAAAGAGGGAAGAAAATGCCAGAACTTTAAATGAAGAAAGAAATTCAGAAAGTGAAAGCGTTTTCAATTCCACGAAAAAACGTTCTCGGTTGATTATACTGAGCAGTGATAACGAAGAAATTTATTAACCACTTAAGCTACGACTAAACGTCACGGTTGCGGTGCCGTGCGCTACAATACAACAAGCGGTAAAGTGTCTCATTTACGCCGCTCCACGTCTGCGAGTGCAATCCAGAGCTGTAACTCGAGATCTCGTTGTTAGGCGACATGTGCACCACGTTATTTTCATTTTTGCGATAAATGCCTATCGGCGTGGTGTTCACGTCGCTCGCAGTTTGAGACAAAAGCATCTCGACGTGCGTGGCACGTCTTTTTAGCGCAAGTGGTTAAACTAAAGTTTCGTTACATTAAAATATGTAATGTTTTTTTTATTTTGTGTTGTATATACATATATATGTTTAATAAAAATTACATTATGTAAAATTTAAAAAAACCTGTTTGTAATAAGTTTCCGGAAGGTAACCCTGCTTTTTATACTACCTCTGGGTCTCTTACAACACTATTTTCTAGGAATATATCTACCGTGTTATACGAGGGTTACCTGCATACAGGCTGATTCAGAATTCATCATCAATATTTGATGGGGAGGTAGGGAATAGGAAAAGAAGGAAATTTCACATAGGAATGCATGGGCGCATATGCCATGTAGTAGGGCAAAATGACCCCAGTTCAATAATGGAAAGAACACATAAAAAGAAAGTAGTAAGGGAGAAAAAAAAAAAAAAAAAAAAAATATTATCTTACATTAGCATTTCTTTGCATCGGTTTTAGAGACTTACAATAGGTACTCGAACTGCTGACCATGTGCTAGAATGCATGACTCACAACGGCGTTGCGTGGACAACCGGACATTCTGGAATATGCCTGGCATTTACATGCATATCTGCAAAGTCACCTAGTCGAATGACGGCTGGCTGCACACATGAAACAGCTGTGCTTAAGGAAGTTGTGTACACACAGCGCTCTCTACACCACCATGCGTTCGTCTGCGCCCATACTTTCCCATGTGAAATCTCCTTTTCCTATTCCCTACTTCCCCACCAAATATTGATGATGAATTCTGAATCACCCTATATATTTGTTTCGATTTTTATCAATTTAAACTCGGAGCGGGGGGGGGGGTGGAGAGCTGCATCCGGACTTCGTTGACAGAAAACATTGCATGGTTTATTAAAAATCGTAGTCTCATTTGAAATGAGTTTTTTTAACATCAATGACTTTTGCTGATCGCTTTTTTAATTTTTTCTTTTTAGCACTAAGAAAGGATGAGTCAACCGATGTTCGAAAGAAATATCCCCATAAATTACCGGTAAGTAATTTGCCATTTTTCTATGAACATTGTTACAGTAATATTGTCATAATGTGCAGCCATATAATTAACTTCTTCATACGAGGTAAAAAAAAAAAAACTTTGATTTCTGTACATGAGCCTTAACTTCTAATACTGTAAGATTTCATAATGACGTTAAGTGCCAAATTTTCGTAATTTTTATGAAAACACTAATTTTACGATGCGATACTGAGCCTAAAGACTCTTTTGCTACGAAATTATCATTACTTATGTAAAGAGGCCCAAAATCATTCCATCGGTGGGATGTGTCGCCAAATCTATATTTAGGGTATATTTTGTAAGACTTAGATGACACCGTTAAATTACATGCTGAAGAGTAATAATCCCAAAATTGATGACGGGTTTACCGTTCGTAATTACGTGTCCGGAGATATAGCCCTCCCTTTTTTTTTTTTTTTTTTTTTTTTTTTCGCAAGGAATGATCGTCAAGGGATTCTGTATTACAAACGTCTTCTGAGTCTCAGTTTTCCATGTATTATAATCAGATAAATCTTGCTGTTAAGATATTCCGCTAATCAAAATTTTCAGACAGAATATAGGAAAAACCAGAAGACAGCATAATAAAGCGGTAGAACAAGGAAGATCCTCAAAATTTCACTTTTGCTGTAGTCTGTAATATAATAATAAAAAAGATAGTAATCTGAGAGGGAATGATTTTACTGTAGTACACATGACTATATGACACATCATTCCGTGAGATACAATTCGCTTTGCATGTTTTTTTAAGGTGGTATAACTTTATGACTTGGGTAATATCAGTCCCATGCTCTTTTAATCATTTTGAACAATAATATTCCAATAAATATTCTTTCGATTCCGAATGCTAGTTTTACTAAAAAGTATAAAACTGTTGTAATTTGTGTTATCACCAGTACCCGCTATTATATCGCCGGACTTTGATTCCTGTGACCATTATTTTTGGTAACCATTAATTACCCAGTGGAAAATTCTCAGGACAACGTTTGTTTGTCTGGTGTTAGCTTCTGCTGTATTTTGAAGGGCGTACTTATTAGATTTGCTGAAGAATGTAGAAGTGACAATCCATTGTTTCCAGGTATATGGTATTTTTCCAATAAAGGTCGCGAGTGTTCAAGTTTCTGTGCAATGAAACTGTACGTAACGAAAAGCATATGATTGAGATGTTATGTCACAAACAACTGACGTAGTGTTAGATTAAAAACAGAGAACTAGTTCGAAAAGTTAGTTGCTTTCTTATTTAGCAAAGTTCATATAAAAACAGAGACAAGCCGCCAAGAAAGACTATATCAGCAGGAAATCATGAAACCCCTTTAATCGATTTAGTGATAGGTGATGTAAAAATTTCATCGGGAAAAGACACCAAGGGATGTTTGGCGTGGATATCAGTTCATATACAAGCCACACATATTTTATTCAGCCAGTGATATCTTCTTCGAAACTGCGACAATGATTCAGTGATTCTATCCGAAATCACATTTTAAAGAAACATTTAAGTGAATGAAGTTAAGGAATTGCGAAAAGTTAAGATTTTCTGAGTTCCCAGGGAGGGGGAGAAAAAAAAGGTAATACTCTTTTTTCCCCCAGTTCGATAACTATGCCAATAACTAAGGGAATAAAATAAAAGAAAAATGAGTAGATAAATAAAAGAAATAAAACCGAAGAACAGAAAAAGATATAATACTAGAAATGATAACTAAATTAACGGAAAGGCTATTTTTACAAAGTCAGTGGATATACGGACATATCCACTGACTTTGCAGTTCCTTTATTACCCACATAACCTAATTATATACTAGATTATGGGAATGTTATTGGTACCTTGAACTGCATTTTGATTATACAGGTTTTTTGGTGCTATCGGAATAGATTTCATATGCAGGCAAAAAGTAGAAAAGAAGCTACTTTAAATTATAGACATGGTTTTTATAAGGGACAATTTTATTTTCAGTGGACTAGTTGAGACTGACCAGTGACCGAGCAATGAAGTCGCTGAACACTGGCAGTTCAACCAGAGTTCGAATCCCGTTAAACAAGCTGGTTGCATGCGTGTCTTCGTATGGTTTTTCCCATTTGTAACATGATCGAGCCAGTTTCCCTTAAAAACTCCCCCACAAATGCATCCCCTCTTGCGGTAGATATCTTTATGAGTGTCTCGTAATAAAAAAAAAAATTAAAAAGTGTATTAGTTGACTTTGGGGCTATTGTAAGAAATCATTAATTTCAACCATTATTATCAAATTTCACATTATAGAAACTATAAGGAGAATTTTATGACTGGCTTCATGATTTGAAACTCAGAAGAAAGATTATTTTATCTGCATTTTGTTACTCATCTGGTAGCGGAACTTAAGAAATCATTTTCAAAATAGGATGCGAAGCTTGTGTTATCACGAACTGAACCGGTCTATTATCTTTGACCGACTTGCTGTATCGTTTCAACTGAGTATTCTACTGTTACTTAAATGCTACTTTTCTGGGAACTTCATTTGCTTAATCTGGTACCCTATTTATATCGCGTCATGAGTGCGAGTAAGAAGAATGAATACCAGTTCAGGAATTTAGATTCTCAGTTGCTGAAGCGGATAAATTGGCAGTTGTCGGATATGAGCACCTGCGAGTTAGCGCAAACACAATGGTATACAAAACATCAATGATACAAAATGTCCTGTGTAAAATGGTGAAAACATTAATCAACTCGCCAATGGCTGTTATAATTCTTACCTCGTCGAATTCATGCGGCGGCGATTACACGAAAAGACGAAAATATTTTGGGGAATGTTGAATTAAATGGGTAGTTTTATGCCTCTTTAGTAATCTGAAATAAATCTGTTAAAATTTATTTTGTATTTTTGTACTTTTCATATTTATTATGTATTTAATAAAAATCCTTCTTTTCATATCGTTAAAATTGTCGTCATCTAGTTAGATTTTGCTCCAATGGTGGCCCCCATTAACAGAAAAGAACCTTTTTCTGTTACTGGACACAAAAGTAGTTTTATGAGAATTTATTTGTATTTTACCAGTGTTTTTGTTTGAAACTATGCCTCTTTATTGTTGTTTGGAAACTTCAATTATTCGAACCCTATGTAAGTTGAGATATATATTATAAGAATTTAATTTATGTTTGCTTCTATCGAATTATATTAGAAAGTCCTCCACGAAGGCATCCCTCCCCTTAGGCAGATAGCCCTAGTGTGCTTTACCGTATTTAAATAAACCAATCTATCGAATTCCGAAGGCAGATATTTAAGACTATCGTTTTGCTTTGTCTTATTATTGATGCTTCATAGTCATAATTTCTAATTTATTTCTTATAGCGAAAAGAATTATCGAAGTTCGACCACTAAAATTATTTACAAAAGAAATTTGTAAACAATGTGTAAGAAAATTTGTAAACAGTGTATAAAAAAGGAATATGCCTTTATAGTTCTCAAAACTTTAATTATCCTCTATTAATGATCCACAATTCAGCAAAAAATAAATTATTTCTTACCTTAACTAATTTATTCATATCTATCTAGAGGTCTCTGTTTAAGGGCCTCTCTCTGCTTTGTACTTAAATTATATAATTAGATTTTTTTTAAGATAAAAGTAAAAATTAAATATAACAGTGTTCAAATCCAGCTGTTGATTATTATTTTGAAGTAAATTTAAGAAATATTTGATGAACTGACTGCATGGGAATTATGCGGTTTTCTTCGTGTGCAACACGAGTACGACAATTTCCCTTAAAATCCCCCATTAAGTCATCCGTTAAACATGCTTCTCTGTAATCACATAAACAGATCTTTTCCGTTACAGGACGAGCCCTACAGTGGCTGAGTGGTAAGACCACTGAATATTGGGAATTCGATCCAGGTTCTATACCACAAGAAAGAGCTGGTTGCATGGTTGGTTTTCGTAGTTTTCTTCGTTTGTAACGTGAATATGTGCCTTAGATTAGTTCCCTTAAAAAGCCCTCCACGAAAGCATCCTTACTCCTAAGTCTTGGATTCCCAACCTCTTTCTTGCATCGACTCCTTTCAAAAGGACGGATTTCTTTATCGGCCCCTTATATTTTTATCTATATTATACAGCATATGACATAATAATACTGATAAATTATATAAATAATTCAAATATAGCAATTATGTTACAAACATGAACATGTTTTTTATTTTCCTGTAGTAAATTGGGTCCCACAGCGTCTGTGAAGTGGTTGAATATTGTTAGACCTGGGTTCTAGTGGAGGTGTTTTATCCTTGTTTGTAACGTGGATACGAGCTAGTTTTCCACGAAGGCATTCCACCCCTAAGACAGATGTCCCAGCGTGCTTTGCCATAATCAAATAAACCAAACCTGTAATAAATTATTGACTTGATTAAAGCCTGCTTCTCGCAGGTAAGAAGAACGAAAAGTGAAAAATATTATTCAGTAACAACTTTTACTTTGGGATATTTCACTTAGATGACTTTAAATTCCAAAACAATACTTACAGATCAGCGCAACCACCTTGGCGCAGTTTAGAGATACTATTTTACAGGACAAAAAGGTGATTCGGTTAATTTTTGGATTACAACTTAAAATGGGTATGATTACCTAAAGAACTGTTATGACCATCGTTGCCAGAGTTTGGTGACTTCTGAAAATTTGGCGATTTCTACTAAGGTGGTTGCGATAATGCGTGCCAAAATTTACCGTTTCGTACAAGATTTGTACTGGAGTATCCTCCTTCAATGGAATCAGCTCTTCTTGAATCATAAATATCAGTATTAGATATAGAACGTGGACAAGGCTCAGGCAAGTGAGGCACTTGTTTTGGTAAATAAAAGTGACTCCAAATTAGCTATGAAAATTTGGAAATGTATTTAAAAAAAAAAAAAAAAAAGAGAGAGAGAGAGAGAGAGAGAGAGAGAGAAAAATTGAAAGGCTTCAAATTTTACTTATTTTTAAATAAAACGTGCATAGAAAACATCTTACTCCTGACATTAGTAATTCTT